CCATATAGCCCCCTAAAGAGCTCTACATCATGTCCATGATGACTTGGTACCTAGCCGGGTCATCACCTCAGATGACCACCTTGTCACCTCCTCATCAGCTTGACACCCTTTGATCTCCATACTTAGTTTTTGGGAGGTTTGGTAACTTGATATCAAGTTTGTCTAGTCTGCTTGATATCTAGACTTAGTTTCAGCATGACTCTCTATCTGGTACCCAGCTTGGCACCCTGTTGCCTGGCCACCAAGCAAATCTTGCATGATCAGTATTTATACTTAGTCAAATTTTATATTTTGTTTCCAAGTCTGCCTTGCCGACTTGGTACCCTCTAAGGGGCTTGGTATCGAGGCTGCCTTGCCGGCCTGGTACGTACACCCTTAGCTCTATACTTAGCCAAATTCATGTTTTTTCATGTCTTGGTACCAAGCTCTACATTGGGCTTGGTACTTAGCCAATCTTGTCATGCTTGGTACCCTCAGCCTACCAAGACGAACCCTGTCGTTTGACCCCCTATTGCCATAAAATTTCATACTTAGCCAAATTTCATGCTTGGGTACCAGGGTTGTCTTGTACCCTCTTGCTATGGGTGATATGACATCGTTTCATATGACCCCCCTAGCCATGAGATTTCATACTTAGCCAAATTTCATATTTGGGTACCAGCCCTGTACCCCCTTGGCTCAAGACTTAGCCAAATTTCATGTTTGGATATCAGGCTTGCCTTGTCGGCTTCTGTCGTGCCGCCTTGTTTCCGGACTTAGTTTTTGGATGACCCACTTTTTGGTACCCGGCTTGGTACCCGGTCATTTGGCACCTCGTTGTACAGCCTAGTTTTTGGGAGCCAAATTTCATACTAAGGGGGCCAAGGAGACGGGTCGGCCATCGTATAGGGAAGAAGGGGTTTGGCCACTTAGACCCAAAAATCCAACCCAACAAAGCTCGGCTAAATCTTATAATTATTGAGCTGGCTTTATAAATTCATTAAATCTCTTGTAGTTGTTAATCAATGTGGTACGAACTGATTTTTTTATGAGTAAACAACTTCATAATAAGATTGGCTGAAAGTGGCATGTCAGAGTCTCCTACTTGTAAATGAAAGATAACTAATATGTCAACTATCTTGGTCATGGTTTACATTTTGAGGTTACATGATATTTCTCTTGCGAATCAATGAAGTGATGCTAGACCATATATGATTGTTCAGGAGCTTGTCCAATTCTGAATGATTGTAAATGAAGCATATAAGCTTATGTTTCATTGGATCCAATCCAAACATTTAGGTTATTTGGATCTGAATTCGCTCTCATTTGATTTTACGTGGTCGTGTACTCATCCTCTACGATGACATGATCTTAAAAATCATCCAAAACCATAAAATGGATCATGTAAGATCTTTTCTCCAGTTTTGGAATATGAACTATTGACTATAAACTACTTACTCATTGTTGTAGATAGACTTGTCACTTTTTTTTTCAAAAAATTGGCCACATAATTTATGAGCACTTGTGTCGAACTATACATAATCATGAAGTACTTTGCCCCAAACATCATGTTTGGATGGTAAAACAAAAATATCGTATTTAGATTGTGGTATTTCAGAAATACTAGGAAAGGAGTTAGTATTCTAGAAATGTGATGTTACTTCTTTTTAGTTCCTAATATATACTTATTATTTTACTGAAGTTCAAATTCTCACTTTTCTTATAATCATTTTCCAAACATGATGTTTTGAACAAATATCACATATCAAATGCAAATATTAATATATGATCATTTGCTCGAAATATCGCATTTTACCAAATACTCAATGCTAACGACCCATAAATCAACCAGAAGTTAGACACGAATGCACTTAACCCTCACCAGCTCCTTTACTACGCGGCATTTAGTAGCCAAGTCTTCCTCCAAATCCGTTGCCTCCAAATCAAGTTAATCACAGTCAAGGGTGCACCACCTATTTAATTACTAAACACAAGTTGACAATTCGGTTTATAAACTACTACTAAATTAATTGATGGGGGGGGGGGGGGGGGGGTAAAATAGGCCTCTCCCTTTGTAAGAAAGTAAATTACGGAAAAAGAGTAAATTTTATGGGTTTTTATTATAACTCAGGAACAACACTATGCACACAGCTTGAGCGAGACCAAATTTGGAAATTCTGTTTGAGCTCTTCGAACCCTCCGCGAGTATTCCTATTAAATGCTTCCGAGAACATATATGAGACCTCGATAGAAGATCAAATACGAGACCTGCCACTTTCCGTAACGAGCGCCGACTAAAGATGTCACCCCTAGACTATGTGACCTTTGGCAATTTTATGGTTTGAACTACTAGTTAGCTAATCAAATTAAAGACGTTTCTGCCTTCACCAAAATGATTTTTGCGTACTTCACAAACTACGGACGTACGTTGAAATGAAATCACATGGCCGCCGGCGGCAATCGTGGGGGTGTGGTGGTGGTGGTTCCGGTTATGATGGTAGGCGGCATGCAGCCTGCAGCCAGCAAGCTCTCTGACAAACAAAACGTATCTCATTGGGATTTGAGTATTTCAGCCAACAAGCTTTGGGTTTTGTTCCCCCAATCACCTTCTTCTTCCTTTCAAGCCACTGCTTACTTCGATCTTCTCCCACCCAGCCCTTGTTTTTGTATATAAATGAAGACTTCCCACCACCTCCTTATATGCTATTCAATTCTTGAGAGTACATTTTTTTATTTTGTTGCAGACAATTTGTCTCTCGAGAAAACTGGTATGTACCAATGATGGAGTGTTCAGACTAGAGATGACAATGGGTCGCGTTGGGTTGGATTTTGTCAAATTCAAATTCATAGGTTTATCCGTGAAAACAATTCTGGGTAAAACCCATTGGGTTTGGAAAACTCAAACCCAATCTAACCCGCTGGGTATCCGATGGTTAATGGGTACTCATGAATTTTTGTCGTAAAAAATTTACAATAACAAGTTTTCATCAAAATAAAAGTCAAATATCAATCTCTCAATACAAATTATCCATATATAGAACATCATTCAAGAAAATTCAAGCACATCACAAATTAAACATACAAATTGTTCAACACCAATCTAGATTACTCAAGAAAATTGAAGCAAATCACAAATTATCCATTAACAACTTGATTAATTAAAAGTTTCTTCTTCCTTGTCAATTAAGCTTCTTCACTCTTAATTGAAAGTTTCTTCCTCATTGTCAATTAAGCTTCTTCACTCTCCACTCGATAATGTCAACTTCATTCTACACACAGAAAAAATTAGACGTGTCTCCACAAACATAAAGAAGATTAGTTGCTTAGAATATAAAATATACCGGGAAAATTAATTATATTGGTGTGGGAGGGTATCCATGTGGCGTGTATACTTAAACCCAAACCCAACCCGATGAATAGTGAACGGGTTTTAACCCAAACCAGGCCCAAAAACCATCAACACGGGTTTTACCCGCATTGACCAGGTTGCATCGGGTAGGGTTCCCGTGAGTTCGGGTTTTGTTGTCATCCCTAGTTTGGGACTCGGGGAAAGTAAAGAAGTTGTATTTGGATTTGAAAGTCTTTGAGGTTCAATTTGTTTCTAACAATACTATCATTGAGCCACATCCAAGACTTGCCCTATCATGTTATATACATTTTAGTGGGAATTTATTAATAAATAGGTGGTATAATTGGTTTCAATTTTTTTTCATAAATTGACATAATACACATCGTAATAAACTCATTTATTTGGTAAATATTTTTAAAATTCGAGTTAACACGAAAAGATAAAAGGGACAAATAGGTAGATGGTGGTAATAGGTGGCCTAAAATTTTGTTTTCTAACATATATAAAAAAATATAAATCCCTCCAAATCCATGAAGTAAACGACCTCTTAGTTGGGATAAGTTTGGAAGGATTGAGTGGAAAATGTGAGTTTTTGACATACTAGAGGACAACTATTTCAAAAATACATACTTTTTGTATGAAAAATTCATGGGTAATGTCTATTTTTTATCCAAATCTTTTTCAGATTCTTTTATATTATCCAAACTTATTAGAATGCTATTAATTAGCAAAATCTTTTGTAGTGCATCAAAATATTAGCCATTTTTACGTTATTGTTAATAATTTTGTAACTCTTTTCTTATTTAAAATAGTAAAATTTTGGAATGTTTACCTTCATGTGTCTATTTCAAGTCAGTATCATGTTGTCAAGTCAATATTAATAAAAAAAAATTGATATCTGAAAATTAACATTTAACTGATTCTTAATATTTCGATAGGTTTGGCTAATAAACAATAATCTAAAAAAACATTTGACAAATAAATAGTCATTACTCAAAATTCAATTTCCACATCACTCCTCAAAGGTAACATTCGTACAAAAACACACATTATCCGGGATTGTGACCAAACCCACCCTCCAAATCCCTAATCCAATCCAACCCTTGAACCAAACTTTTCTCCACCGACAAATTACATTCAAGCTAGATCTTCCCATTATAGGAATCCATGGAAATCCCGCCAAAATTTTAGCCCAAAATCAACACTTAATAATAATAATCAATAGTGTCAGTACTGAGATCCTCTCTCACAGCCTTCATTCACCCTTCACATGCATCCCCCATCTTACTATATGCTCTTCACCTTCGTAAGGTGTCAGTAATTGATAAAGAAAAAAGTTAACCCAATCCAATTGTCAATAATAATATAATTAGCTGGCGTATTTGCTTAAGTAAGCTCCCTCTCACCACTCTGTGTTCATCAATGTTACGCCAGTGTCAGACGACCTATCTTTCTTCATTTCATACTTAATTCGCCATTGCTATATATCTTTGCTTCACTTCTCATTTTTGCAAGACGGAAAATCCGCCTCTCCCGGCATATGCATGTTAACCTAGCTAGCTCGCATTTATATTACAAAACCTAGGGAACCTCAAATTCATCCCCTCCCATATGATCACAATCTCAACCATAAACTTTAGCTCCCCCACCCAAAAAAAAAGGTCTAATTATCATGCCGATAATTAGGCTAATCACCACCACCACCATAATTTCCCTCCTCATCCTCATCCTCTCCTCCACATTTTCTTTCCCTGTTGTTGTTGCCTCGTTGGATCAACGAGGCAGCAGCAACAACAACGACAATGCGTCAAACACAACCTCGTGGTGCGACGAGACACCGCACCCGGACACGTGCAGGCACTACACGAGTCACGTCACCTGGCCGCACGGGACCCAGCCGGGGGCCGGGAGGTCGGAGTTCCGGATCGCAATCATCGAGGCGACCCTCAGACAGGCCCTGGACGCGGCGAGGAGGGTGTACAGGTGGAAGTCGAGGGCGCGGACCCACGCGGAGCGCGCCACGTGGATCGACTGCGTCCGGTTCCACGTGGGCACGGTCCGGCAGCTGAACCGGACCCTCCACGGGCTCCGCTCCCCGAAGTCGTGCACCGACTTCGACGCCCAGACGTGGCTCAGCACCTCGCTCACCAACCTCGAGACCTGCCTCACGGGCTCGGCCGACCTCAACGCCACGGACTGGGCCCGGCCCATGATGTCCGCCAACCTGTCGCGGCTCATCAGCAACACGCTGGCGGTCAACGGCGGGCTGCTGGGGCCTCAGGAAGAGGATGATGTCGGTGGGGGAGAAACGGCGTCGTTTCCGAAGTGGTTCGGGTCCCGGCAGCGGCGGCGGCTGCTGCAGCAGCAGCCGTCGTTGGGGTCGGCGACCGTGAGGGGGAATCTAGTGGTGGCGAAAGACGGGTCGGGTCATTACAGGACGGTTCAGGAGGCGATCGATCGGGCGAAGATGAGGAGGTATCGGACGAGGTTTGTGATCAGGGTGAAGAGTGGGGTCTACAGGGAGAACATTGAGGTGGATAATGACAACGGATATATTTGGCTGATTGGTGACGGGGTGAGGAACACCATTATTACTGGCGATCGTAGCGTCGGCGGTGGATACACCACCTACAGTTCTGCAACCGCCGGTAAGATTAAAAAAAATTCATTATTTCCTAAGCTATTTGATTTCCGTTAAATGTGTCATATAAACTCGTACCTAATGTTGGAAAAGTTTTGGTGGAACTAAGAGTCACACTAATTCACGCAATTTTTTTATTCATGTAATTCGATAGTTATGCACGTATAATAGTTATGATTATTCAAACATCCGAACTTTTTTTTCCTTAATAATGTGTATTGTCCATATTATGGAATTACATTTGAATTTTTAATTTTTCCAGTAAAATGAGTTGCATTGATCATAATCTGTATAACGATATTCATTTTGATATATTTCAAAATTTAAAAAAATTGAATATTTACAACCACGGGAATAAATTTTAAATGAGAATATGCGTGTATAAAAATCAGGTTGCTTATGAATAATCATTCATATTTACGTGAATAACTCGTGAATAAATGAAAAACAATACACGAATTAAGTGTTGTGCGACTCTATAAGTGCCACTAAACATTTACCTTTTCTTCATCGATCGATTTGTTATTAGTAAATAATCGCAATGAGTTGAGATGCTCTGAACGGATCCGAAAAACTCTAAAATTCGAGTTTAGTAATCACTAATCTCTTATGGACAGAATTTAATTGCCTGCAGTCAATCATCGAACCACGGGGAAATGCCCTAATTATTTTAACAAAAAGACAAGTCTCTGATACGCTACTGCGCATATATTACAGACGACTTTTACTTACGTACCCTTAACATGTACTTTACTTTAATCATATCCCAATCAAGCTTTTATTAATCATTAATTAATTTCCAAACCCCTCCCCCGCAGGAATCGAAGGCCCACGCTTCGTGGCACGTGGCATCACCTTCCGCAACACGGCGGGCCCCAGAAAGGGCCAGGCCGTGGCCCTCCGGTCAACCTCCGACCTCTCCGTCTTCTACCAGTGCAACTTCGAAGGCTACCAGGACACCCTCTTCGTCCACTCCCAGCGCCAGTTCTTCCGCGACTGCACCGTCTCCGGCACCATCGACTTCATCTTCGGCAACGCCGCCGTCGTCTTCCAGAACTGCGTCATCTCGCCCCGCCGGCCCTTACCGGGCCAGGCCAACATGATCACCGCACAGGGCCGCAACGACCCGTTTCAGAACACCGGGATCTCGATCCACAACTCGCGGATCGTGCCGGCTCCCGACCTCTTGCCGGTGGTCAGAGCTTTTAAGACGTATCTGGGCCGGCCGTGGATGCAGTACGCGCGGACGGTGGTGGTGAGGAGTTACGTGGACAGGTTCGTTTATCCGGCGGGTTGGTCCAAGTGGCAGGAGAACAACGACTTTGCGATCAACACGTTGTATTTCGGGGAGTATGGGAATTACGGGCCGGGTGCTTCGACCCGGTACAGGGTCCGGTGGAAGGGGTACCATGCGATCAGGGAGAGGGCCGAGGCGTCGCGGTTTACGGTGAATGGGCTTATCGCAGGGAGGGCGTGGTTGCCGCCGACCGGGGTGCCGTTCACTTTGGGTCTTTGATTGATTCGAGAGAGTGGTGACTAATTGTTTTTAGCGACGGATTCTATTGGTTTGTAAAAATTCTTTTTTATTTAAACGGTGTCGTGTGGTGTTCCAGTATTTAAGAACCTGACGTTGGATTTCGTTTGTATTGATTTGAAACGCTGTCGTGTGGTATTGTTTTTGTCAGGGAAAAAATGGACGTTTAAAGTCTGATTAGTTGGGCTGGGCTGGGCCGCGTCAATATTTGTATAGGCTCGTTGTTAACAGTAATCCTGTGTATAGTTCAGTTGGGCCGTTGCTTGTAACAATAAAGGCCCACATATGATTTAGGGATAAGCCTTCGGGTCCACATCGGGTGGCTTGTGTAGTCAAATCACGTTTGTGGTTTTCAGTTCAATTTATCAATATGCTTGTAATGTAATTTTACACCACCCAATATGTGTAGGGAGTTTGTTCATAGAATTGGGCTAAGGAGAAGGGAAGATTACCTTCTTCATTGATGACGAACTCGATCTCAACATTGGAACCACCGGCAGCCATGAAAGAGGAAAAGCTTTGATTTAAGTGGAGAAAGTTGCAGCAAAATTAAGAAAACAGTCGAGAGAGGGATTTATATAGGAGGAAGGACAACATGCAAAAACGTTTATTGTGAGCAGCGTCCTTATCATGACGATATTTCAAAAGCCAACAGCCAAAACGAGTATTGGAAAACGACCCATGTCACCGGGTGACACTAACTACGCCCGCGCACTTCCTATGGGGCAAAGGACCCCCTTAGACAAAGGAAAGAGCGCACCCCCGACACCGGGGGGGGGGGGGGGGGGATCATCTCTGCTAGTGAAGTATAAATTTGAACCCAACAAAGAAAACAGACCGCCGCCAGTGATACCAAAACACCGATTGTAAATAAAGCTACAAAAAACTTAGTAGTGTGCTCACACTTGCAGGGAGCACGAGAACTCATCGCGCACCACTACAGGAAAGCATGCGGAAGTAGTGTCTACCCGCACCATTGAATGAAGAGATCAGGAGGCACTCGAAAAAACCTCCTATTGGGGGGAAATTGTTGGGGATATGGCGCGGGTACATGCACGGCTACAAAAACCCTCCACCGCCGTTGCCAAAAGAGCCACTCGCGCAATAAGCAGATAACCTAACAACCACGACTAAGGCACGATGCGATCCTATCATGTGTAAAATAGAAATCCCCATACATGAAAGAAAGTACACTTGTATTGAACAATCAAATATGTCTATTTAATTCAACATACTTGGTGACACAAACAATCTGTTAACTTGGTGTTAGAAACCCGTTTCTAACTATTTTGGGGTTTGGACTCATTTGTCAATCTATTATTAATTGGGGGACCTTGGGTGTTATTTGTGGGTATTTTCTGATTATTGGGGTGTTATCGGTTATTGGGAGAATATAGGGTAGTTATTGGGAATTTATCAGGTTATATATTCTGTAATCGTGGGATTAGTAGGGTAGACAATTACAGAACAAAAACTTTCCAAACCCTCTATATCTCTTTCTCTACTGGGCAACTTTCTCCCTCTCTTAACCCCTTACTACCTTGGTTTTCTTCTTCTTCTCTCCAATTCACCATTGCAACCCCAATTCTCATACTTCTAATCCCTAATACCAAACAACCCATTACTATCTATCGATCTCTAGATTAGCGAACTCCTGATGTGCACACCTAGATCAAGGTTTCTAACAGTGGTATCAGAGCCTGATTGGCGCCCGGGTTCAGACAAGATCAAACGAGATATCTTCCACAACAAACAAGACAAAGAAGACGCAGAAGGAGACCGTGATCATGAAGGATCACACCAAGCATGAGACGTTACTTGGTTTCATGAACAAGATTGCGGACAACCAGATGGAGGCTCGCGAACAGCTACCGATAGTTGGAGCGCGCATCAAGGATTCCACCCAACGCATCAGAGCGGAGCTGGCTGATTTTTGAGCCATGATGCAGAAGATGGTGGGGTAGCGAACCGAGGAGACGCGACCTCACGAGCCAGAGGAGCCGACGAGTCCAGCGGCGGAGATGGCGACGAGGTGAGAGGCTACTGCTACCAAGGGAACCACTGGGGCAGTGGCGGCGGGCGGAGTGAAGCCCGCGTCGGAGCTAGGCGCCGAGGAAGGCCATGAGGCGGTGGTGGGAAACCCTAGCCATGCGGGCCAGGAAATCGTGGCAGCTCGTGGAAAGGGGAAGGCGACTGGTTACAAAGCGGCGGCATACGGGTACGGGTTGGAGTCCTAGGGGTTCGGATGGGGCGTCCATGGACTAGGAGGGTGGATGGGCCATTTGGGCCCAAATCGTGATCGAGAGGAAGAGTAGATGAGCATAACAGGCTACGCGCGGGAGCTAGGCTAACCTCGGGTCTCCCAAAGCTGGAATGAGCTGGATCGTGAGCCTGAACCAGGACGGGTTGCTGGATCGAGCGCCGACTAGTCCGACTGGAATTGAACCGGTCTGAACCATCTTGAATAAAACCAAATCGGTTTGGACCAGTTTGAACCAAACCAAACCCCGACGGGAAGCACTAGTGGAGGACGACCGGGAGCTGGGGAAGGTCACCACAGGGGTTCTGAATCCCCGTACCCACCTCTCGTGACTCTCGGGATAAGACAAGGTGGAATTGGGCGAACCGTGGAGACGGGGCAAGGATCAGAGGTCAAATCTGGAGGACATGACGAGCACCTAAAGGGGAACGTTAGCTGGTCGTTTCCGCAACCTTCATGGGGGGACTCGGGACGCGGCGGCAGCGGCGGTCAGTGATTCCCTCACTAAGGCATAGGCAGTGTATGGAGGGTATAACCCCATGTATGAAGGTAAAGATGATTTGGTTCTTTAGAGTTAAACCGCCTGTGATTGAGTTTCCTAAGTTTGATGGTCATGGAGACGTGTGTTTATGGTTGTATGTGGTGGAGAGGTGGTTTCAAAACCACTCAACACGAGAAGAGCGCAAGGCCAATCTAGCATCCTTTTATCCAGAAGGGGATGCACTATAGTGGTGGGAATGGATGGAGCAGTCTTATGCTGCAACAGGGACTATGATCACGTGGGCTAGGTTTCAAGAGGAGCTCAGGTACTAGTTCACAAGGCCGAGGGGTGGGCACCTAAGCAGCTGGCTAAGCTAAAACAGAAAGGCACAGTTGCGGAGTATCGGTCGGAGTTCCTGAAGCTGTGTAACCAGTGCAAGGAAATGGGAGAAGAGACATTAGTGGGATTGTGCATGGCAGGGCTGCAACCAGAGCTGGCAGCAGCGGTCAAGGTTTTTGAACCTGACACTTTGTGAGTGGTTTTCAGGCTTTCAGGTCATAAAGAAGAGGAGGATGTGATGAGAGGTACACGGTGAGTCACTAGTGTGCTAAGGGGCATTTGATGTTGCTAGTGGGCAAATAGGAGGATGAATAGAGGAGTTGGCGGTTGGAGGTACCCAGGAAGAGAAGGAAGGCGAGAAGAGCGAAGGCCAATCTTGAGGGCAAGACTAGTCTTAAGGGGGATGGATTGTTAGAAACCCAGTTTCTAACTATTTTGGGGTTTGGACTCATTCGTCCGTTTATTATTAATTTGGGGACATTGGGTGTTATTTGTGAGTATTTTCGAAATATTAGGGTGTTATTGGTTATTGGGAGACTGTCGGGTAGTTATTGGGAATTTATCGAGTTATATATTCTGTAATCGTGGGATTAGTAGGATAAACAAATATAGAACATGAACTTTCTCTATTCGGCAACTTTCTCCCTCTCTTCTCCCCTTGATGCCGTCGATCCCCTAATCTAGGGAGGTTGGTTTTCTTCTTCTTCTCTCAAATTCACCCTTGCAACCCCAATTCTCATACTTCTAACCCCTAAATACCAAACAGCCTGTTACTATATGTCAATCTCTGGATTAGCAAACCCCTGACGTCCACGCCTAGCTCAAGGTTTCTAACACTTGGTTGGCTTTCAAACCTTAAACGCCAAGGACAGTAGGCAAACAAGGTTGCACAACCCTAGAAGGAGACGGTTGTCGAACTCTCCTCCCACTTCCTTCTACCTCTCGCTCGACCTCCCATCCCACCATATCCCTCTACCGTCATTCCTTCTTTCCCTAGACCACCACCAGTCCCGCCGTTCCCTACCCCCAAACCACCATCAACCTTGCCGCCATCATCTTCATCTCCCTCCAGAAAATAATGAGCCACGTCTGAGAAGTCAAGCAACAGCGAAGGTTGTGCCGCCATCAACTTCCTCTCCCTCCAGACAACGACAAGACCGCATCTGAGATGTGAAGCAGCAGTGACGAGGTATGAACCGACGAGCTCTAGTCGGCGCCCCTTCCTTCTCCTGTTAGCGACCCATTCTAGGTAGAATCAGCACCGACGAATTTTTCTTGGATTCTAATTGTTTTAGCTTGTCAGGATTTGGTTTCTAATTTATGGAGGAAGGGAAGAGAAAATAAGATGTAGTTGCCACCCTCAATCCCGTTGGCGACAAAGATGACTAGAGAACTGACAAGATGACGCTTGGATTTCTGGTCTCTGAAGTTGGCAGATCTAGGTGAGGTTCTTCTAATCCGTCTTTCCCGATTCTATCCTCTATTCCTTATCAAGTCATGGATGTGGATTTTAGTGATTTAGATTGAGGGATTTACCTACGGGTAATTGGTTTGCAGATCTCTTTCGTAGTTTGTTGGGCAGTGGATTTGTGTTCTAAGGGTTCTGCTTATTGGGTAGTGAATTTGCATTTCAAGGTTTAGGTTGATTTTCATACCCTCTAAAAATTATTGCCAATTTGTAGGAAAAGAACTTCACTTCATTTTGAAGACACCCCTGCTTCGGTCCTATTATGTTTCTTAAGGCCATATGTTCTTTAACATTCTTGGGTATATGTTTCTGTTGATTAAGTTATTCATACGTTGAATGCAATGGTAGCTTGATGAGCTGAAGGGCAAAGCCTCTTACCAAGTCATACGCAGAATCTTTAAGCGAGCTTGGAATCTCAAGGTAATTTATTGATA